GCTTTGCACAGAGTCTGGGCAGTGGGTTGATGGCACTAGTTTTCTTCAAGTACTTAACTTCAGCCCAGCCCCTGTTCAGGACCGAAGCTAGCTGAGACCAATCCGTCTCTGAGCACCATCTTCCTCCACTGAGCCAAGCAGCTGAACGTTGGAGGAGAGACCTCTCTTGCAGATGGCCGAAGCTTGGAGAGGTGAATCTCGGCCTTGCTGCCTGTGGATAACTCATTCCTGTTCCTTCTGGGGCAGCGTGGGGTAAGAAGGACTCATCCCAGGGTGGTTTGTACTTCCTCCCATTTTTCTTGTGGGGCAAGGGTGCAGATGCATCGCGAGCCCTTGCAGAAGGCATCACACCAGTGGGGATGGGGCCAGGCAGAGATTTTGTAATCCCTGAGAAGAGCTTATTTCCTCAAGGGTGAGGCTGGCGACGAGGCTGCCAGGGCCTTGAAGGGTGCTTTACCCACCTGTACACTACCCAGTCCCCATCGCTCCAGTGCCCAACACGGCCCCGCACCTGAGCAAGCGCAGCGCTGAGCCTGCGTGTGGTTTTACTACACACGTGGCACTAATGGCAGGGAGGGGAGGAAGCCAGGGTGTCCATGTTATCAGTGGCCCAGCACACCCAGCCCACAGCTTTTATGTCATGACCAAAAAGTAAAATGAAAAAAAATCCCCTGAAGTTAATTGAAACGAAAAGCTCAAAGATAGACGTTGCCCAGATGTTTCTGGCAGGAGGTGCCGCTGTTTGCTGTCACGATGAATTGTGAATTTTAGCATTACATTTATTTTTACAATTTTAGCAGGGCTCCATTGCTGCCTCTCGAATTTTCAGGTGCGAGGCATGCAGCACTGACCTGGGAGGGGGCACTTGCGGTCTGCATGGCTGCAGCTTTTCCACATTAGCAGAACCACATACACTGCACAGCGATGATGAGGAAAAGCGGATCTGCGCACTCCAGAAAATGCCATGAAATATCTTTGTGAGTCTGTGGAAACAGATGCCCTTTGAGCTTTCTGCTTGTTCTTTGGATCTGGCCTCGGCTTAATCTTGTGTCATAAGTGGAGCTGGTCGAAATTTAATCTCTGCTTCAGAGGGGATAACGATCTTAGGAAAGCGAAGTGCCCTGAGTTAGTGTAAAAGTAGGTGTATTGAAAGGCTCCTGTTGAGAGCAATTCCTGCAAGTCAGATTCAAGAGAAATAATTCAGCTTCAGAAGCAGCTTTGCAATGGAGGAGATTTTTGCACTTTCAGAGAAAGGAGACAGACGTGACCCAGAGAAACCAGCACCCACCCGCTCCAGAGCCCTCCACCACGACGCACTACGGCTGCCAGTCTGGGCTGCTTTCGGTGCGGACACCCACTGGAAACGCAGGCAGAGCCATCACCCCACTCTTGTCGCTCGGGCTGAGTCTCCTGGGTGCCAGACTTTGCCTCCCACTGCTTGTCTGAAGAGCAGCTGAGCTTCCCGTGCTGGCCGGCAGGACGTCACTGCTGGAGAGAAGAGAGGCAAAAAAGAACGATGATGGGAGCATGCAGGTCTCAGAGGTAGAAGAAGGTAGAAAAGCCATCAGACGACCCACAAAGCAGCATTTTTTGGCCTCCCTTTTTTGCAGCAGTGACTGAGAAGAGTAACAAGCATCTAAAATGTGGATAAAACCGTACACATACAAAGGATGTTCATGGGGGGGCAGGAATGTGCCTGGTCTGGACCTCAGAGTGACTGGCAAGCTGCGGTGGTTCATGGAGGAGCTGTGAATTTGGGCTCAAAGAGTTTAGGTGAAGCTGGAGGTCGGTTAGCTTTGCAAATGGGAGTTGAGGGAAAGATGGAGCCCTGCAGAAGGCAACTGCAGAGGGCAATTCCTCCTTGAATGGACGAGTCCTTTGACCCATCTGGTGCCATCTCAGGGACACTACTCTGTCCATGCTTTGGGGCAGGGTAAGGCCAAGACACGCCAGCCCTGTTTTCCCTCCCCTTATGATTTAGGCAAGTAATACTACACAGTCAGGAGCACATCCATCTTTCTGTACTCAGCTGTGTATTTTCGTCCTTCCACAGTACAACTCCGTAACGGTAAGCGTTGCCTTCACCACTGAAACATCTTAATAGCTCTGCCCTGGTGAGAGCGTGTTAATGGCTGCGGGGTTGCTCCACGCGTGTGCTTTACTCGCAGGCATTAGAGATGCCCATCTGGTTTCATCCGGGTGGTCAGTAGTGTTTCCTCTTTCCAAGCCAACTGTACAAGGGCATCTTGCTGCTTCCTCAGCTCATAAAAGCAGTGAAATTGCTTTTTTCCTTCTTACAGTGTTGCCAGTTTCCATGCAGGTGTAAAGCCCAGCTATCCCTGCCAAGACCCAGAGCGCTTCAGCTTCTGCCTGTTGCCCTGTGCAGGGTAAAATGCACAATAATTAAATATACTTTTATAATTCTTATCTAAGTATACTTTATAATATATTTTTTTAATCTAATACTTTAAGCAAATACTTCTTTGAGTGTTTGTTCTATCTCTGCTTGCTCTTGGCCTCTGTGTTTCCCCCCTCCTAGTGATCTGTCCTGATTTTCTCTCTCCAGTTAAGAGCTCCAGCTGAATGCTGTGTTCCT